TCTCAGTGTCTGTGGCCCCTGAGCCCATCCTGTGGCTATTCCCATTTCAGAACAGAGAGAGCGCGGACAGTGCTGTAGCAGATCCACATGGCCCCTGGTGCCCCGCCAGCACCCTGAGAGGTGGAGGCTTGTTCTCCAGCCCAGTTAGAAACGCCAAGGAACCCTAACTGCAACCTGTTGCCCTGACTCCCAGGCACACCAGCCCAGCATTTCATTTGGCTCACAGGGATCCGTCACCTGTCCCTTCCACAGCACACGTCATCTTCTACGGTGGTGACATCATGTTGTTTGGATCTGATGGGTAAAGAGCAGCAACCACCCTTGACACTTTAGTAGGACATATATGTGGTGAAGAGTGGGAGGTAAATTCCACAACAGCCTGGGATCTCCCACCTCCAGAATCCGGGCCCAGCAGGCAGTGTGCCTCGACAGTCCTTCCCGGATGGAAGCAGGTGGCTGCACCCAGGCCTCTGGGTGTTGAAGACCAGCAGGAGCCGGTCTGGCCCTTGTCTGGGACGGAGTTTTACCTGCCTCACTTGGAAATGCTGCTGCAACCCCATAACTTAGTAACCCAAAGCAAGAGAAGGTTCTGGGTCAGGATCAGGCGTGGCACAGGCCCACCCATGTCCAAGAAGCCTTGGCCTCCCTTCAGGTGAGTCACCGACAGACTCAACAGGCACGGCCCGGCTGGAAGGTGATGACTATGCCAGACCCTGAGGCTGAACACCCATCCTGGGCCACCATCATAAGAGCCTAGCCACCAAGCCACAGGGCTAGTATGAGAGGCAGCACCCCACAGTGATCAGCTCAGGCAGGTCCTGGAGCCCCAGGTGAGGGACTGGAGGATGTGGGTCATGAACAAGCACTCCTATCACAGTGCTCCAGCCCTCTGAAGCCATGCACACCAATGGCTTCATGGGCAGCCAGAGAAAACTCATCCTGAGGGCTGGGGCTGGGGCTCTGTGGAGCACTTGCCTAGCATGTGTGAGGCTCTGGGTTTGATCCTCAGCACCACATAAAGATAAATAAAATAAAAAATAATAAAATAAATAAATAAAATACAAATAGAAATTTTATATAAATAAAATTAAAAAGGTATTGTGTCCATCTACAACTAAAAGAAGAAAAAGAAAACTCATCCTGAGCACAGACAGTTCTGCATGGCATCCACCCAGAAGTGGATGGCTGCAGCAGGACAGCCCCACTGTGTGGGGGAGGGTGAGGATAGGTAGAGCCCAAATCTCTGGAGAGGGCAGGACAGTGTACAGTGTGCCTGGTTGTGCCTTCTGCCTGGAAGGGAGACAGGGAGAGGCATAGATCTCTGCTGGCTGATAGGCAGGACTGACCTCGGCATGGTATATAAAATCAGTGACAAGGCCTGGGGCCCCCAGTCTGGTACACACAGAAACATCCCTGAATGTGCAGAGTGCAAAGCATGTGCGTGACCAAAGAGCCACTTCAGAAGGGATCTTGATAACTGGGGGGTAGAGAGGGGGCAGGATGGTCTCCTTCCCAGGGCCACCTCCTTAGTCAAGGTTGGGCAGTAGGAATGGAGGCCAGGGGTGGCCTCGCTACCTGCACTCGCTGGGCACCTGGGCTGATGGCAGAGATGCCCAGGCCCCTCCTGCACCCTGCAAGTCTCAGGCAAGCATTTGAGCCAAGGATGCACCTTCCTGCCTGCTTCACTTCTGCCAAAACTACCATGGAGGGACATACAGAGTGCTCACCCACACCACGGCGCTCCATACAGCAGTCTGTCTCCAGGCTCGTGGCCTCTCGGGTTCCCACAGAATGGTGGACTCCCTCTGCAGGTTTACTGCAGACCCCAGCTGAGTGGCAATCCATTCATTTCCTCACTGCCCTGGGGTGGCAGGTGCCCCTTGGCAGTGTCCAATCCAGGGCTTCCCCCAGGCAGGATTCTTGGGTCTGGGTCCGGGTCCAGGTATCATGGAGTAGAAATGGCAATGTTTTCTCAACTGTCATTATCCCTTGAGATTTGCTGATGACATTTTTGCTTCCTGTCCCTGTGACTTTTGGATTCTGCTGATCTGGAGGCCTTAGGTATCCAAGGGACCAACTCATCCTGGTTTTTCCAGGACTTTTCTGGGTTTAAGTGAAAGTTCCAGTCCTGGAAATCCCTGCAGTCCTGGGCAAGACCTGGCCACCTGGCTATCACACCTGAGGTTTGACAGAGGGTCCCTCTACTGGCCAGGGTGCTTGGTCCAATGGAGGGGAACCCCAGACTTTATCCCAGATGGGATAAGGAGGTACATGGAAGGCAGGAGGTTCCTCAAGGATGTGTCTTGGCACGCCTTCTTCCCACAGGAAGGGACTACAGGCAAAACTGCTAACAGCAAAGGCCCTGCAGCAATGAGGGCTTGGGTCACCCCACAAGCAGAGAGCCAGATGCTTGCTGCAGGCGAGGGAGCGCCCTGCCCCTTACCCCTGTGAGCTGTGTGCACTTGTACTGACCAGCTCTTTTTCTTCCTCTTCCCCTCTTCATTCCCCTATCACCTAACAAAAATATTAACACTGGTTAACATTGTATCTCCATGTATGAGCTGTTTGACTCTCAAACACCCTCTAGAAGTGCCACTCAACCTGAATATCTGAATATCGAAGGTAAATAGAAACCCGGGCTCAGCCCCCTCTGGAGAGGCAGCCTGTTGGTTGAGAGAGTTGTGTATTAAGCAGAGGCATGAATGTGCTGCTGTTGTTATTTGGAAGTTGAATGTGGTTTTCAACAGCCATGTGCATGCATGCTGATTTTTCAGGAGGGGCTGCTGCAGGTGGTTCTTATGAAAAGCTACTTAGGCTGGGCCCCTTCCCTCTGTGGTCGGGGCTGGACAGACCATTAATCTCCAAAAGGCTGTCCCAGCCAGATGTGATGGCAGGTGGAACAAGTGTGCTGGGCCAGAGTCCCACCTTGTTCTCCCAGTGCTCTGCCCCTGGCCCTTCATCCCACCCGCTAGTTTCCAGATATACAGAGTAAATTCCCTGGCTGGGGTCCTTCAAAGGCAATGGGGTTCCAAAAAATTCTCTTTCAGCACCCACTTTCCAATGTTTGCTTTCTAAAGATTCCATTAGTGGCCCTCAAAGAGTGACCATGCTAGCTGGAGTAAGCCCTCTCCACTCTATGCCATCTGTCTGTTGCTGCCTAGAAAAACTTAAATTCCATGAAAGGAGGGACCCCCTCAGACACAGTGGCACACACCGGTAATCGTGACTCGGGAGGCTACAGTAGGAGGATGACAGCCTCAGCAACTTGGCAGGACCCTCAGCAACTTAGCAAGATCCTGTCTCAAAATAAAAAATTAAAAGGGCTGGGCACGGTGGCACACAACCTATAATCCCAGCAGCTCAGGAGGCTGAGGCAGGAGGATCGTGAGTTCAAAACCAGCCTCAGCAAAAAGCAAGGCACTAATCAACTCAGTGAGACCTTGTCTCTAAATAAAATACAAAAAAAAAAAAAATGTTGGGGATATGGCTCAGTGGTAGAGCATCTCCAGGTTTAATCCCCAGTATGAAGAAGGAGGAGAAGATAGAATGTTAGGAAGAAGGAACCTTATCTGCCTTGTTCACTACTGTGCCCTTATGGTATCTGGTTCCTAAAAAAACTAGGTAATCTCTCTTGGCTGAATTTTATATCAGGAAAAAAACATTACGTGTATTCAGGGCAACATGTGAAATGTAAGAAGAGTGACATATAGAACACTGTAATTAAAATAATATTTAAAATACAATTTGATATGCAGACAACATGAACGTGAAAAGTAGACAATTGACAGGAAGGAAAGGTTTTGAAAAGATACAACTTGCAAGACAGAGGACAAAAATGACACAAACAGCAGACGGTAACCAACTTGAATTTTGAGGGATGGTGGGGCAGTGTTAGAACAAGAAGGCAACCTCTTGAACCTCTTCTTCCCAGCCCTGGGTGGGATCATGTCTCCGGCTGGGAATGGGAACAACAAGAAGGGGATAAGCAAGACGAACAGAGCACCATCCACACGGGGGTCCTCCCCGCAAAGTTCCCAAGTCAGAATGAGGGCTGAGCTAAGCAACCCTCCTGCAGGTAAGACCTCAGCATCCTCAACCCACCCTCAAGAGAGGTCAGCCCCTTGGCCCATCCCCTGTGCCAGTAGGCCTCTAACTGCCTCCCTCTGCTGCCCCCAAACACCAGCTGCCAGGCAGGGCCCTTGCCCTCCAGGGGGAGGCCGGTGCTTTGGGGACCCTTCACGGCCTGACCTGCACCAAGCACCGCAGACAGCCCCACTCCTCATCCCTCCACCCCACGTGTCCTCCAGTTCCTCACTTCCCCCTCTCTTCTCCATTTTATCTGCGCCCCATTCTTTCTGGTCTCACTGTGTCCAGGTTTTCCCCAAACTCCCAGACCAGGCTTCCGCACCTCCGGCCGCCAGGCACCTTGGCCAGGCTCCCGGAGTTCCCCAGCCCTGCGCTGTCCTCGTCGCCCCAAGCCCCTAGTATCCTGCGCCGTACCAAACGGACCCTGCGTCCCTCGACCCCCGCACGTCCCGGTCTCGTCCCCGCGCGCGCGGGTCGGCGCAGCCCAGGTGGATGCGCGCGTCGCGTGGATGGAGACGGCGGCACACCCTAGCGCGCCGCCCCGCCTCCGCGTGCTGCCGATTGGCTCCCCGCGGGCTGGCCAGGGCCGATTGGCTTGGGCCGCGCGGCTGCCGGGCCCGTTTCACGGTGGGTAGCACCGCAGCGTGGATGCTGCTCGGTCCCGCCGCCGCCCCGGAGGAGAGTGGAGCGGGAGCGGCCGGGCGGGGCCGGCGGGAGCGCCTCGAGGAGCCGCTCCCGCCGCCCACCCCGGGCCCGCGGCCAGGGCAGCCTGGGGGTCGCGGCTGCACCGGGTGGCCGCGGGCGGCGGACAAAGGGCCATGCGGGGCCGCGGACGCTGAGCGCGGCCGGGCGGGCCGGGGGATGCGGCGCGGGGCTGGCGGGACCGGGGGGCCACAGCGACGCTCCTGAGCTCGGCGGCCGCGATGCCGTGGTTCCCGGTGAAGAAGATCCGCAAGCAGATGAAGCTGCTGCTGCTGCTGCTGCTGCTCACCTGCGCCGCGTGGCTCACGTACGTGCACCTGAGCCTGGCGCGCCAGGGCCGCGCGCTGCGCCAGCGGCTGGGCTACGGGCGAGGTACGCGGGGCGCGTGGGGACCGGGGAGGCGAGGGACGGATTGGCGTCGGCCCCGGCCTCCAGCGGGCGGCGAGTCTGGCTGGGCCCAAGCGCCTGGAGACCCTGCTCGCCCGCTCCTCCCAGCTGGGGGATCTTGGGGGAGGGGGCACGGTTTGGCCTGGCGGGACGCCCGATGACGTCAGCCATGACGCGCTCGACCCTCTTGGGGTTCGTCCCAGACCTGGGCGGAACCTAGGATCTGGCTGGATCCCGCAGCGATGGGGTTAAAGGTGGGATCTTGGCAAGTTCTCCACCCCAGCCCAAGAGGCCTATCGGGCCAGACCTCCACCACTTGCCTACTTAGCAGGACCTCAGTTTCTCCATCTGCTAGGGGGACACCCAGAGATCCTGACCCGAGGGCAGAGCCGCGGGAGTGACCCCTGCGTTTGGAATGCTTCTGGAAGGGTGCCCTGGGTACACCTGTGCACGATGGAGCTGAGGCTGGTGCTGCCTGGAGCACACCCCCATATCCTGGTGCTCACACACCAAGTGGGGCAGTAGAACCCACAAAGCAGTTCAGGTCGTGGCCAAGGAAGGGCCTCTGAGATGGTGACCTTTGACACACACTCGGTGGAGAAGAGCTGAGCTGGTGGGGAGAGAGACAGAAAGAGAGTGCCCCCAGGTCGGGGAGAGTGAAGAGGCCAGAGTAGAAACCCCACCAGGGCAGGACCAACCCCAACCAGGTTGACCTGGACCCTTGTCAGAGATGTGGGGGCAGGGAAACAAGTGTCTTTCCTCCCAGAGACTAGAACACTGGCTCCACAGACCCAGGGCTGGGGGCTGTTCTCACCCCCAAGAGGGTCTGTGGATTGTCCCAACCCATGTATCTCACAGCTGAAACAGCTCAAGAGACCCCCACCCCAGCGCTGTCCCTTCCCTAAAAGAAGCCCCATCCCATCCCCAGCAGTCAGCAGATATGCAGGGCTCAGAGCTGACCCAGCAATACAATACACCATCCCCTGTCGACTGCCTCTGTGGTTTCTCAGCAGCCACAGGCTCCCCCAGTCTGACTTCCTGAGCGACTGAGGAGTCTGAACCCAACCAGGAGGGGGCAGGGGCATAGGAACCCCACTGCTGAAGATCTGATCTCTGTTCTCACTTGGGCCAGCCGGGAAGCTGGTTCAGTTGGCCCTGGCTGCTCCTGAGTTGGTCCTGGAAGACCAAAGCTGCCCGTGGCGCTGCCAGGAGCAACCTAGGCTGCGTGGGCAGGCACCAGCCCTGCACACTTGGCTCTGGGCTGAGGCCCATCCCCTGTCCGGCCACCTGGGCTCCCAAGCCAGGGCCTGTTAGATGTGGAGCAGTGGACATGGTTGAGGCTTTTCTGGCTGTCCAGTCAGTGAGGCAGCATGCAGGTGGTGCCCAGCAAGTGTTAGTTCAGAGGCCTGTCTGGATATTCACTGTGTTAGGGCTCAGCCTCTGCAGGACAGTGGTGGCAGCCCGAGCTGGGACTTCACACAGAAGGTTCCCAATGCCATGGATGCCTGGACTTAGCTCGGCAGGCTCTGGGCATCTGGGCCAAGCTGTGGGGATGGGTCTGGGAGTTTCTCAGTTGCTCATCTCCCAGCTGGTCAGGGAGGGATGAGCTGGGAAAGGACCTGGAATGAGGAGCAGGTGAGCAGGCACTGCAGGAGTCTCCACAGGGAGGAAAGCAGGACATCTCGTCTCCCCCAGAGAAACAGCCCAGTCCAGTTTGTCTCAGTCGTGCCCATAGGGGATTCTAGCTCCTGAGGTCTGGATGAAGGTGACAGGCATGGATGTTGAAGCCCAGGGTTGGCTCTGAAGCAGAGGGGTCTCCTAGCTTCATTGGTGGTTCCTCAGTGGGGCAGAAACGGGGTATAATGAAGCTTCTCCCTTCAGAGACAGATCCCAAAGCATGGGACCCTCCCTCCCAGGATGCAGTGGGATGCTGAGGTTCACAGCTTAGGAAGGACGTCCCAGAAGTGGAGCAGATTCAGAGGTCTGCCCCAGGCCTGGGAAAGGACAGACTGGAAAGGGTTGCCCTGAGGGACAGTCTCCCTCCAGGACCACCTTGGCACCAGGTCCTCTGGCAGATAGGACAGCGTGACCATCTCGTCTCTGCCCAGGCCAGTTCCAGGGCTCCTATGCCGTGGGCCAGATGTGGCTTGGCCCAGGACCGCAGTGCAGGCTTTCCTGACCACGAGACCCTGCAGCGACCCTTAGCTCTCTGTTCTGGAGTGAGGGAGACGGTTCAGCACAGGGTAGAAGTGCCAGGCCACCCTCAGGTCCTCCCAAGGCAGGACCGCTGGGCGAGCACAGCCAGGTGGGTGTGGGTGTGCAAGCACAAGCAGATACACACCGCCGGCGCTCTCTCACCCCAGCCAGGTGGCGTGCTTCTGCCAGGCTGTCCACCTAGGTAAGATGTAGATGTAGAAGGCCTCAGGGCTCAGGTGAGAGCAGCTGCCGGGTGAGAGGTGGGGCCTCTGCTGAGCAAGCAGGCGCAGGGAGCATCTTCCTGGAGCAGAGACACCACAGCTTCCTGCCCTGCTCTGGCCAGGTGGGATAGGTCCCTGCCCCCAGCTGACCCCATCTGCTCTGGCCGTGTGGTCTCTGGCCTTATGAGAGCCTGGGCCCCAGATGTGCTTCACCTTCCACCCACAGATGGTGAAAAGCTCACCGGTGTGACAGATGGCCGGGGTGTCCGGGCTATGCCATCCACGCAGAGGGCAGAGGACTCCAGTGAGAGTCGTGAGGAGGAGCAGACAGTGAGTGGGGACTAGGGGGGAACCCCCAGGCGGGTGGCCACATGTGTGGACTGGCAGGCCTGGCCACAGTCTGTCCCAGAGCTCCAGCATCCTGGCCTGGTGGCCCGTGTCTGGGTGGACACAGTGGTGTGCGTGTGTACGGGCCTGTCGTGTGGGTGGCCACGTCTGCCTAGGCAGATGTGAGGCGAGAGTGTCCAGGCCCCAGTGGGGCTGGAGGTTACACAGCTGGGTGAACACGGGACTTAATGAAGCTGTCCCACCGCGTGTGGCCCTTTGAGCTCTGAGCTGCCACCCTTCCTCTCATACAGCCTGACGGCCGGGACCCAAACACGCTGCTTCCCGTTGGGGTGGGGAGGCCGCCTCCACTGAACCTCACCCGTCAGGCACCCCCCTGGCGGGAGGAGGTGAGCTCTGCCCCCCTCACCCCTGCATCCCTCTGTGCGGGTCTGGGAGGCTGGGGGAGGGGGCCTTGCTAACTCCCCTTCTCCCCAGTACAAGGGGCAGGTGAACCTGCACGTGTTTGAGGACTGGTGTGGGGGTGCCGTGGGCCACCTGAGGAGGAACCTACATTTTCCGCTCTTCCCTCACGTGAGTGCCCCAGAGAGGGAGGCCAGGCGGGCCTGCCAAGCCGGGTGGTCAGTGGCCTTCCACATGAGTGGTCACTACCCCCTCAGACTCGCACCACTGTGAAGAAGTTGGCCGTGTCCCCTAAATGGAAGAACTATGGACTCCGGATTTTCGGCTTCATCCACCCAGCCAGAGATGGTGCGTGGGTCGGGTGTGCTGGGGGAGGGGTGTCACGAGGGCCTCCACTGAGCCCCTGTCCTGTGGACTAGGAGACGTCCAGTTCTCTGTGGCTTCTGACGACAACTCTGAGCTCTGGCTGAGCGTGGATGAGACCCCCGCAGCCGCCCAGCTTGTGGCCTTCGTGGGCAAGGTACTCCCTGCCCCTACCCCAGGTCTCTTCCTTCCCGTGGTGCCCCTCTATCCACACCCTATTTGTCCCTCTTTGGAATGGGGACTGGATGGGTCTGGACCTCAAAGACAGCATGAACCCCCATAACCCTTCTGTGTCACCCCCAGACTGGCTCTGAGTGGACGGCGCCTGGAGAATTCACCAAGTTCAGCTCCCAGGTGTCGAAGCCCAGGCGGTGAGTGAGGGTGTGTATGCACACAAGTGTTGGCGTGTGTGGAGGCTGGTGATTTCCGCCTGTGTACCCTTGCACGCTCACACCAGCAGCAACCTGGTCCTGAGGGCCAGCCAGGGGGCATGGGAGCAGTCTGACCTTCTCTCGCTCTCCAGCTGTTAGGGTGCCTGGGCGTGGGGGAAAACCAGCCCTGCCTCCTCCTGTCCACAGGCTCATGGCCTCCCGGAGGTACTACTTTGAACTGCTTCACAAGCAGGATGACCGGGGATCTGACCACGTGGAAGTGGGGGTGAGTGTGGCCTGCCGGGGCAAGACGCTTCCAGAGACCCCAGCTGCCCTCCCTCCCCTTCCACTCCCTGCCGGACTGCAACGTGTCCCCAGGCAGAGGGGTTTCCAGGAGACCAGGAGGGTCTGAGGCGCCCACTGGGGAACAGGGGGCTTCTCTGAAGGGTGACCCTTTACCAGGGAGGCAATGGAGGGGACCACATATAGGGTAAGAGGTGCAGAGTGTAGACTCCATACAGGAGAATGGAGCCCGCATCTTCCAGCATCTTGGGAGACCCCAGGGGGTCTGGTGGCCAGGTCAGGGGTTGGGTGGAGCTACAGTGTTAGGCTGGACAGCTCAGCCTATCCTCGGAGACAGGCAATGGGATTTGCGTTCAGGAAGAATCCTCAAGCCGCTGATGGGTGATTTGGGGGGGTTGGGAGATAAACCAGGAAGAGGGAGGGAGGACCTTAGGTTGAAGGTAGGGAGGGGGTTCACAATAAGGGAGAGGCCTGGAGTCCTCCCTGCTGGGGTGGGGGACCACCACCAGGGTGGAGTAGGGGTTCTCAACCCCAGCCCCATGGACTTACATGTGTCTGGCATGTGTAGTGAGTGTCCTTGGCAGGCTGGAGAGAGTTTGGAGTGACCCTGGGAAGACTGAGGGGGTCCAGGATCAGCCCCTGGGAACCTCAGTCGGAAGAGCAAGACAGGGGTCACCTCTGCAAAGGAGAGCAGAAAGAACAGCCCTGGGGTGGGGCACTGGGAGGGCACTCTAGCAGGAGATGCCGGGCCTGGCCCTTGGACAGCTGGCAGTGACCTCCAGAGGGCAGTAGTACAAACCCAGGCAGCAGCTGGGATCTGGAGCCACATCCAGCAGGCCAGGAAGATCCAGGGTGGGTCTGGGTCTGCCCCGGGGGACCCGCAGCCTTTTGCACCTCCTGCCAGTTAGCCCTGCTCCAGAAGGTAGGACGCCCCTCACATACTCCCTCCCAAGAACTTCCTGTATTCTTTGAGGGATCGCTTCCGCTCCCCCAGCCCCAAGCCAGGGAAGACCCTTCCTCTTCTCCCTGAACCCAGTCTTCCCTGTCTCTAACCCCAGTGGCGAGCTTTCCTGCCTGGCCTGAAGTTCGAGGTCATCGGCTCTGCTCACATTTCCCTATACACAGGTACGGGGCTAGATACCTCGTCACGGGAGGGGGCAGCTTCTGATGGACCAGCTCTGGGTTTGGGTGGGGACAGGCTAGGAGGATCCCCTTCACCTCCTTCTGCCAGCAGATGAGTCCACCCTGAAGATGGACCACGTGGCCCACGTTCCCCAGTCTCCAGCCAGCCACACAGGAGGTCGCCTGCCACAGGAGGAGCCCAGTGCCGACATGCTACGGCCGGACCCACGGGACACCTTCTTCCTCAGTGAGACGGGACCCACAAGGGGTGAGGGCGGGGGCCAGGCCAGGCTCCAGTTTGACCGCCCCTCCCACAGCCCCTCGGATGGAGCCTTCGAGCCTGGAGAATGTACTGGAGCCCTGCACCTATGCCCCTACCTACGTCCTCAAGGACTTTCCGATCGCCAGATATCAGGGACTGCAGTTCGTAAGTGCACCTCACAAGGCTTCGGGAGACCGGCCTCCAGCCCTCCCGGAGACCACCCTGACCTCAGCCCCGCCCCCAGGTGTACCTCTCCTTCGTCTACCCCAACGACTACACGCGCCTCACTCACATGGAGACCGACAACAAGTGCTTCTACCGGGAGTCGCCACTATACCTGGAAAGGTGGGTGGGCAGTCCTTCTGGAAGTGAGGCGGGGCCTTGGCCGGGCAGGTATCTGATGCCCTGCCCTACCGGCCCCAGGTTTGGGTTCTATAAATACATGAAGATGGACAAGGAAGAGGGGGAGGAAGGTGAAGAGGACGAGGTGCAGCGCCGTGCCTTCCTCTTCCTCAACCCTGACGGTGAGTGCTGCACCCCAGCATCCCAGCACCCCCGGCCTGCCCGCCTGGGCGTGGCCAGCTGACCTGCTTCCCTGCAGACTTCCTGGCGGAGGAGGAAGAGGGAGAGTTGCTGGACAGTCTGGAGCCCACTGAAGTGTCCCTGCCACAGGGCAGCCACAGGTCTCCCACCCCAGCCACGCCCACGGAGACTGCTGTCACCCCTGTCCCACCGACACCACCCAGCCCCCTGGACCAGCACACCCCCAGACACTCCCGGGGCCTGAGCTGGGCTGCCCAGGCCGGCCGCCCCCTGCCCCTCTTCTTGGGTCGAGCTCCACCCCCACGTGCCGCAGAGAAGCCGCCCTCTAGGGTGTATGTGACAAGGGTACGACCAAGACAGCGGGCCTCCCCAAGGGCGCCTCGCAGCCCTCTTTGGCCTCCCTTCCCTGGTGTCTTCCTGCGCCCCAGGCCCCTGCCCAGAGTGCAGCTGCGAGTTCCCCCACACTCACCACGGTGGGGCCGGAGGACCGGAGGCTCCCATGCCACAGAGCTGAGGCCCCCAACCCGGGCGCAGGCCACCCAGGGGGATCGGGAGGGCCAGGCACTTGTGCCGGGACTGGCAGCGCTCTCGGTGGACTCGAACTCATCAGCCGAAGCGCAGCCGGTGACCTCCTTCCTGAGCTTGTCCCAGGTATCCAGGCCGCAGCTGCCTGGGGAGGGCGAGGAGGAGGAGGAAGGGGAGGATGAGGGGGCCCTGGGAGACGAGGCCTCAGAGGACAGTGAGGAGGAGGCCACTAGGGCTCTGGGCCGCTGGCGAGAGGACGCCATCGACTGGCAGCGCACCTTCAGCGTGGGTGCCGTGGACTTCGAGCTGCTGCGCTCAGACTGGAACGACCTTCGCTGCAACGTGTCGGGGAACCTGCAGCTGCCCGAGGCTGAGGCTGTGGACGTGGTAGCCCAGTACATGGAGCGGCTCAATGCCCGCCACAGTGGGTACGAGGTGCCGGGGAGAGGAAATGCTGGTCTCGCACATTCCCCGGAGCTCAGCAGTGTGCTAGTCTGGAAAGATGCACTCCACCCTGAGCTTTTGGGTCCTAGGGATTGAACCCAGGGGCGTGTAACCACTGAACCACATTCCCAGCCCTTTTTATTTTATATTTTGAGACAAGGTCTTGCTAAGTTGCTGAGGCTGGCTTTGAACTTGCCATCCTCCTGCCTCAGTCTCTGGGCTCACAGCATATGCCACCTAGCCCTGATGCACTCCACCCTAGGGAAGCCCTAGGGGGCTCCTCTCCCCTTGGTCCTAACTACTCGGGGCCCTTGTCCAGGTTCAGGGCCTCCCTGGAGCCTACCAAGAGCTGGCTGCATAAAGCTTTACCTGTAAATCCCACATCTGTCACTGTGGACCTGAACTCAAGGATGAATCCAAGTTTCAGGGGTTAATGGTCAGTCTCAGCCAGACACTGAAAAAGGAGCCAGACAGACACCAAGGGTCAAGCTCAAGACCCCTAGACCCCTCCTCCCCTATACAATGCTACAGAGTCTTTCCCAGGGGTCCAGTCTTGACTCTAAGAGAGGGTGCAGGGTTCCTGCCCTACTGCCTGCCACAGGCCCAGGCATCCAACTCACCTTCACCCTGCCACGGCCCTGTTTCTTCCTCTGGGGAGTTTCCTGAAGGCCATGATGTGTGGTAGCCAGGAGATAGCAGATCTGCATTGAATAGGCAGGTGGTCCAAGGATGGCTGGGGACAGGAGGCCATGCAGAAGATAGAGACCTGGAAGGTTCCGAGCAGGGCCAGAGTTGGGTCCCGGGTTGTATACAGATGTGCTGCTGCCTGGGGGAAGGGTGGGGATCCTGACAGGCCCCGTCTAGGGCAGTGATGGACCCTGCGGTGACTCCAGGTGGCTCAGAGGGCAAGTCTGCCTTCCTCTAGGCTTCCTGAGAGCACCTCCTTGTCCCATGAGTATGAGAGGTCGGGGCTGTGACTCCACCCTTGCCCACTTGGGTGTGAAGGTGCAGGTTACCACACAGAGGATCCAGAGCATTTGGGGCAAAAGACTCCTGACTGGGACAGAGTGGTAAAGGGGCAGGAGTCCAAGGGGAAATCTAGGCCCCCCAGGTCAGGCGGGTGGCTCCCGAGGAAGGGAGTGCTGGCCCCCAAGGGAAGGTGGGAGCCCTGTCTGAGAGCAGCAGCATCCAGACAGGGTACCCCCCAGAGAATGGAGGGCACCTGGAGGAGGGGTCAGCGCTGGGCAGGGGGAGCCCCCGAGTGTGGGCTGCCCTGCCCTGGGGCAGGAAAACACAGGTCAACCTACCTCCTTCCTGGGAACTCCAGGGCAGGGTTGGGGTGTGATGTGCCCTGAAGTCCCCGTCCTTAGTGGCAGCGTCTTGGAGCGCCCGGCCCTGGGCTAACCCCAGCCGCCTCGTAGGCGCTTTGCGCTTCTTCGCATAGTGAATGTGGAGAAGCGCCGGGACTCGGCGCGGGGCAGCCGCTTCCTTCTGGAGCTGGAGTTGCAGGAGCGCGGGGGTGGCCGCCTGCGCCTCTCGGAGTACGTCTTTCTGCGACTGCCAGCAGCCCGCGCAGGAGACGCGGACGGGGAGAGTCCCGAGCCCCCTCCGGCTGCCTCTGCGCGACCTGACGGCCGCCCGGAGCTCTGCCGACCGCTGCGCCTGGCCTGGCGCCAGGACGTCATGGTGCACTTCATTGTGCCAGGTCCGGGTGCGGTGGGTGCGCATGGGCAGGTGGGGCCACCAAGGCCGCCGGAGGCCTCGGGACAGAATGGGGGTGCTGATGCCAGGACAGGGTGTGGGGTGGCTGGGAGGAGGTTCTGCGGAGCCCTGGGTCCAGGGCAGTAGGCTCAGTGGTGCCCACTCCTACAGTGAAGAACCAGGCCCGATGGGTGGCGCAGTTTCTAGCAGACATGACCGCACTGCATGCGCGCACTGGTGACTCGCACTTCAGCGTGGTCCTGGTGGACTTTGAGAGCGACGATATGGACGTGGAGAGCGCCCTGCGTGTGGCACGGCTGCCCCGGTAATGGCATCCTCAACCACCACCACCTGGGGGTGGCACATCTTTTCTCCTTGGGAGGTGTGTTTTCCTGCCCAGGCCACCTCTAGGATTGGTGCCTGTGACTTCCCCTCCCACAGGTACCAGTACCTGAGACGCACTGGAAACTTTGAGCGCTCTGCTGGGCTGCAAGCCGGAGTGGACGCAGTGGAGGTGCGGGCCAGACAGGTTTGGGGCCACGAGATGGGGCGGCCCGGGGAGGAGTCCATCTGTGGGAGGAGAGTGCGGGGCTCAGCACTCCTAACCTCCAGGACCCCAGCAGCATCGTTTTCCTCTGTGACCTGCACATCCATTTCCCACCCAACATTCTGGATGGCATCCGCAAGCACTGCGTGGAGGGCTCGCTGGCGTTCGCACCTGTGGTCATGCGCCTGGGCTGCGGGAGCTCCCCTCGAAACCCACATGGTAATGCCCTGGATGCCCCCGTGATGCCAGGGTAAAGTCCAGGAGCCTGGGGACCTCTCCCAACCTCCACCACAGGCCTGGGGCCCCCAGTTTGGTGCCAGACCCATGAGCACCTCCCCAGTGCCCTCATCATGCACCGTGCCCAACACCAGAGGGTGGTCCCCGAGAGCCACAGAGTGATGGGACCCTGCACCAGACCCCTCCTGAGGTCTCCCACTTACCCTCTGGGAAGGAACCTGGCAGGACCAGCCTTAAGAAGGGCCTCCCCTCAGGTTACTGGGAGGTGAATGGCTTTGGCCTCTTTGGGATCTACAAATCAGACTTTGACCGCGTGGGAGGAATGAACACCGAGGAGTTCCGGGACCAGTGGGGGGGCGAGGACTGGGAGCTCCTGGACAGGTGACTGCCCCCCACACACTGAAGAGAGTCCCATCCTCAATGGGAGGGTGGAATCACGGGGCCCATGTGCTAAGAAGACCCTGCCCTCCTCCCCCATCTTCCCAGGATCTTATAGGCCCAGGGGACTCACCCCAGTCCCTGGAACCCCTTCCCACCCTCAGGGTCTTGCAGACAGGGCAGTCCTGACACCCAGCTTCTGGGCGAGGTTGCTGACACTCCTCCACCCACCCCAGGGTCCTGCAGGCAGGGCTGGAGGTGGAGCGGCTTCGACTGCGCAACTTCTACCACCACTACCACTCCAAGCGGGGCATGTGGGGCACACGCAGCCGGAAGGGCTCCCACACGGAGCGGTCTTGAGGATGAGGCAGCCCCCAAGGGGTCCTGTGGCAGCAGCTGAGGGCTGTGCTCTGAGCCCTGTCCCAGGCACAGCCACCAACCTTGCCTGCCCCTCTGCACCCACCAAGGCTCCCTATGGCCCTCACCTGAGAGGCAGACTTCACAGCTGGTCGGGGCGGGCCACGGTGATCCCCACAGTCCACAATGATTTCTGTGAAATTTTCTGTAGCGATGACATTGTTTTCAAGATTTCCAAGAGTTCTGTCTGTCCCAGTTTTTATTCAGAAAGAAATGAAATATTTTTTTTAGTTCCGACTTGTCCTCTGTGGCTTGTGCTCTAGGGAGGCACTGCCTGCCCCTGTGCCCCTCACTTGACCCCTCCTGCCCTGCCCTGGCCTTCAGCATGGGTCCCAGGAGTTCATTTCTTCCCCGACACCCCCTTGTGCAGTCTTTGGTCACAAGAACAGACGGTGGGGGGCCTTCCCACACATGCCAAGAGGGGGCTCTCACTGTCCCCTCTGCTTTAAAAGCAGAACATGGGGCTGGTGCTTCTGCATCTTCCCAAGGTGGGGGCCTGGATCCGTGAGCACTCTGGGTGGCCAGGAATAGGAAACCCGGTTCATGTTGGGGTAGGGCCCAGTGGTAGAGGACACAAAGTCCCCACTTCATTCCCAGCACTGGGGCGGGGGGTGGGGGCAACTCAACCTGCTTACATCATGGAGCCGGGGAGGGGTGGTGGTTTGACATCTGCTCCTGCTGGGAGAACGCTGAGGGTATATTGACCAGAGCCTGGACAGTGCCACTGAGGGCCACTCTTTCCTCTCTGTCCTCGGTGTCTCAGCTTCATCTCAGCCTGGGTCCAGGCCCAGGAGCCAAGCAGGTGCTGTGCCCACAGCTGGGGAGCAAATCAGCACAAAGGTTTAAAATGACAGATTCATCGCCCAGTTCCGAGAGCGGAAGTCCCAAGGCCATGGCCCAACAGGGCTGCTTTCTCTGGAGACCTGGCCTGGCCCTTCCTCGCCTTCTCCCATTGGACTTCTCAGTCATGCTCCTTCAGCTTCAAAGCCAGCAGCTGTGAGGCTTGCTGTGCTCCCGCAGACTCCTTGCCCCTCCAAGAACCCTGTGATTACACGGGGGCCACCCAGGGTCCCCCCCAGGCAACTCAGAGTCCCTGCCCTCTCCACATCCTTCATGCAGTCACATCTGCAAAGCTCCTTTGGTTGATGGTGTGTAGCCCTCCCTCGGGATCCACGCGGGTCAGCCCCGGGTGGTCTCAGTACACAGGGCAGCCAGAAAGGCGAAGCTGGAAGGACAGAGGTGCCTGTTCAGCCCTGAGATCCCAAGGATAGCACTGCTGGAAGGAGCAGCCCTGGGGCAGCTGGCCACTGCCCAGCCCGCAGATACTGGCAGACACCAAGTTTCCTGTGACTCGCTGCCTACAAATGAGGACCCATAGGACAGAGACTGGCCAGCCACAGATTCAGTTGGAACCCCAGAGGCCTGTACTATCCTCTGCTCTCAAAGAGGTAGTTCAGACAAGTTGTCCCCAAAGATATTTCATCATGAGAAAAGCAGCACTGGACTTAAGATCACAAGCTACCAAGCACGGTGGGATGCGGAGAGAAAGGTGGGGCACACTGAGGAACCGTTGGCGGCAGAGAAAATCTTGAGGCAAAATCCCACGTGATGTGGACTCCAAAAACACCACAGACTGTTAATTCATTTGATCATTGAGCGTCCCCTTGTGTCAGGCCCTGTCCCTAAAGGACAGTCACCCCAGCACAGGTCGGGAGGCACATCAGACACACTGTCTGCGCTGGTGGCAAGTGCTGCAGAGAAACAGCCAGAGGGGACATGAACACTGGAGCAGGGGACTTGCCGGAGGTCCAGCTCTAACAGGGTGGGCAGGAAAAGCTGGAGCCCAGCAGGAGGGCGCAGGGGGGCACCGCCAGCTGGAGGGGACTGGAAATGAGGGATGAAGACAATAGAAATGAAAGTCACCTACGACACTCGGGAAGGAGAGGAAAACAAAACTTGCACAGACATAAAGTCCACTCTAGCAATTTCTAAGAATAGCTGTCGTTGGGAACCTGGTGAGGGCACAGGAGAAAGCACACAGAAGGAAATGATGTACAGCAGATGAAAGGCCTGGGGCTGGGGCTCAGAGGTGGAGCGCTCGCCTCGCACGCGTGAGGCACTGGGTTGGATCCTCAGCTCCACATAAAAACAAAATAAAGATTTTTTTTTTTAAAGCTGATAAAAGAGAAAGGGGAAGATGGACAGCAAGCCACCAACAGGCACCAAGACAACAGAGGAGAAAACATCTGTGACACAGCAGAAGAAGACTTCCGAGGTCAGTAGGGAGGGACCGCAGTCTTCAGAACCCAGTGCCACCAGGCCTGTTGACACACCTAAGTTCCCAGCTGTGTGAGAGGCTGAGGCAGGGGAACCGCAAGTTTGAGCGACTTTGAGAGACCCTGTCTCAAAATAAAAAAGGGCTAGACGTGTGGCTCAGTGTGGAGCTCTTGCCCGGCATGTGCGAGGCCCTGGGTTTGCTCCCAAAAATAAAAATAAAAACAGCATGCCAAAAAGTGAGCCCGTGCACATGTAGATGAAGCTTCTGGCTCCAAGGCAAGACCCTGCGGCCTCAGGATGGTGGGAGACCTGCGACCCAGTAGGGGCAGGGGACTCCGCCAGGTGGGGTGGAGCACTGCTGGGAGCCAACCAAGGGATGGAGAGCAGAAGGGCAAAGGACGCCCAGCGGAGGAAAGGACTCACGGGAGCAGGAGCGCTGTCCTCCAGCCAGACGTAAGCTGGCTGCCGAGAGAAGGCACGCAGCCATGGCAGCAAGTTCGCCAGGGTGTGGCCCAGACCTGGCGACCTGGCGAGGGAGCAGCGGGGGCTCTGCCAAGACCCCCGGTTCCACCAGTCAGCTCCCGTCCCCAGACCGCTGCCGCTCTGCTGCCCTCAGCACCAGAAACTCCTCTAGACACCTGGCCGGCTGTGCAGCACCTGGAGGCTGGCCAGCCGGGCAGACCTCAGCTGAGGTGCTCGAGTGTGAGAGCTGGAGGCAGCACCCACCGCCCAGCCCTTCGGTTTCTCCCCGGTGACAGCCCTGCTGCTGGGTGGAGCTTCTTTCCAGCCCCAGCCCTCCCTCCATTGCCCTGACATTCCTGCTCCTCACAGAGACTGGGACCCCCTCAGAAGAGCATCTGAAGGTTCCCAGGGCTCCTGAGGCTACCTGCTCCCCACAGACTCCTCCCCGGCTCAGCTGTTCTGCTCCTTTTGGGTCCCCTGTGGCCTGACAGGCAGCAGTTCTGTGGGCGGCTGTGCCAGTTCATGTCTCTGCCCACCCCACCCACGGACAGAGGTGCAGCCGGGGGTATGCCTGGAGCAGAGAAGAGCTCAGAGGACTCAGGAAACTCCTGAGCCAACAAACACTGGGGTGATGGGACCAGTGGATGTGGGTCAGCCCGTGCCCAAGAAGGTGCCACCCTGGAGCAGACTGGACCCGGCCTCCTCAGCTGCCTCCACGCCCATTTGGCCTGGACACCAGCAGAGGTCAATTGGCACACTAGCAGTCCCAGGGTCCAGGGCCGGGGGGCCATGCTGCCCAGGGAGCAAGTCCTGCTAGGTTCTTTGGAGGAGGCAGCTAGTTTGGACTCTGCAGAGCCCAGACCCTGGGATGTCGCTAGGTTTGCAAGCGTGAGCACCGCCACCCGTGGGTTTGTGGACCAGAAGCACCTCCAGCGCCTGGAGCCCAGCCGCTTTGCCCCATCTCATCCCTGGCATCAGCTGGACACCAGGGCTGCGCTGACACACTTTCACCCCACCCCTGCAGGTGGGTGGCCACAGCGGCCTCCTGAACCTCTCTGTCAGCCAGCACCCTCCTGACTTCTGCTCCCTAGCAGGGTCACCCCTTTCCCACGACCCCCCACCCCGGCTCCGGACCCATGCAGCTTGCCCTCCATCCCTCCAGAGTCCACAGCACACACCTGCAGCTCCACCCTGCTGCCTGCCGTGACAGCCCCCCACCAAACCTGGCACCGAGAGTCCTCCCACTCTGACCCTGCTCTCTGCAAGGTGCCGCCACCTGGGGACCAGGGCGACCACCACTGTCACCAGGGAGAGCCCTGACCTCAGGTCCTCAGCCTGGCTGCATGGAGCTCCTGGAGAGGGTGGGCTATTCATCAGCTCCCTCCAGGCTGCAGACCACCTGCTGCGGGAGCCTGGCCTTCCTACACTGCTCCTGCCACACCGTGGCTCCAGGGAGAGAGGGACACTCCCGGAGGGCAAGGGGCTCAGCAGGCACTGCCTGTCCCTCCAGCCTTGCAGCCATTAGAGGCAGTGCCCCGAGTTCAGGCTCCGCCAGGGTCGGGGAAGCCAGCAGTCCTGGCCTGGGGACCTGCAGGCTGCCCTGGCCTCCTGTCCAGGCCCTGTCCAGGCTGCACCTCCTTGTCTGCTTGCCTCTTCCTGGCCGAGGCGCCAACCTCACCAAAGCCCCTGGTACCAGGTGTGCTCCGGCCTTCCACCCTGTGCCCCTCGACCCTTGGACCCTCCACAGTGGGCCTGAGTGAAGGGCGGGCCCCAGATGGAGCCAGCCTGTGCCTCCAGGCTGCTCAGCGCCGCACAAACTTGTCTCCCAGGACTTTTCCACACGAAACGCGTCTCCCAGGGAAGCAACCGGTCTGATGAGCTGGGTGTGCGCTGTTCACCCCTCCCTCCAGTGCCCCCACAGGGCCGTCTCCAACAGAGGCTGCCCACAGCAGCGGGGCCAGGATGGAGCCCAGGACGCCTCAGCGGGCAGCTGCGTCCCCGGGGGTGAGTCCCAGGGCCGGGACCCGGACCTCAGGCAGGGTAGGTTCCCCACCCCACCCTGCTGCTCCAACCAGACCCCTCCCTGGGGGCGCCTCACTTCCTGGGGTCTGTTCCTCCCACTAGCCCCCACACCCTCCAGCCTTCTCAGCACAGAGCTCACCCCTGGTGCTGCCCAGGACTCTGTCTCCTCACCACAGGCTGCTGCCCCCAGGAAGGCAAATGGCTTTTAGAGACCAGGTCTCGGGTCCCCATGGGGGAGACAGCTCAGACAGAGCCCAGAATCAGGTCTTAGGGAGGCAGAGGCCATCGGGACAGCAGCCCAGGGACACCTGAGGAAGCCCTGGAGGGAGAGGGTAGCTGAGGCCCACTCCCACGCTCCAGCCCTGCTGGGCCTACCCTCACCCCCATCATGGGCCTGTCCTAGATGCCATCTGCCCAACAACACCAGAGCCTGCTGGCCCAGCTGGCTGGGTGCTCCGGGGAGCCCTTCTGGGG